CCGTGCAGCGGAACGGACCGGCGGAGAGCGGGTCTGCGGGGGGAGCGAAGGGAGGTGGGAATAAGCGTCCGGAAGGCGTTTCGCTGTAATGCGCCTTCTTCCATGTGTATGTCACTTGTTTGCATCAAGAATGTCAATTCCTGGAGGGCAAACTCGTGAGTATGTGCTAAAAAAGAGCTGATGTGCAGAGCGGTGTGGGGCAGGTCCTGGCCTCCAGCCCAAATTACTTACTTGCCTGTCTCTTGTGATGGCTGTAATAAAAGGGCAGTGTTTATGTCACTTTTATTATTTCATTAAGTTTTGGGGTTTTTTTTTCTGTTCTGCAGCTAGTGGCATTCTGGCTATCGACAAGGCAAGGGAGCCCATCACCTTAGTACTGGCAGAAGATGGCACCATTGTGGATGATGAAGATTACTTCCTGTGCCTGCCAGCTAACACCAAGTTTGTGGCACTGGCCAAGAATGAGAAATGGTCCAGCAAAAGCTTAGGTACTCTGTGGCTGAGGGAGCACAGAAGGGGAGGGGTGTTTGAAATACACCTGCCGAAATTAAGGCTGTCTCAGGTAGGTGAGGAATGACCCGTGAAACTGATGACTCTTGTGTCAGACAGCGGAACAGCCTGGCTCTCGGAGTCTGTGGATGAAGTGGACAGTGCTGCAGAGAAGTGGAAGCAGCTGGCCAGGCAACTGAAGGATGACCTGTCTAATATTATCTTGATGTCTGAAGAAGACCTCCAGGTACAGTGGGGAGACCTGTAATTGCTGTCCTTGGCTGTGCCCATCATCCATTTATCTCACTAGATGGCAGAGAACAGAATAAGTAAACAAGATCTCAAGCTTCATTCAGCTGCTGTTGTTTGGCTGTGGTGCTAGAGTCAAATTTCTCCTTCAGGGGAAACACTCATGTGTCTGAGGAGGATGCTCTTAATCACTGATTTTCCCTCACAATGTGTCTTTCCAATTCTGGCAGTGGGAGGGCAAAAAGTCAAGATTTGGCTACGTGACAACTAGGGTGGGCTCCTTCCTTAAAACCAGACACCTGTGTAACGTGTCAAAAGGGAAGTCTGTGCAGCATGCCAAATTTACCTGCTCCAGAGGGGTTTGAAAAACTGCTGAGAGTTTCCAGAGCCGATTGATTTGAGTATCTGACTGCTTAACACACTGTACGTGGTGAGGCACGGAGATAGCTGCCTCTTCTGTGCTCCTGCAACGTGCAGCTTCCCAAGTGCCAGGCTATTGGCGTTCCTTTCTGTATTCCCATGCACTCTTAAGAAGTGGTACTTTGATTGCCAGGAGTTGTCAGGATTTCTGTTAAAAATGCATATGATTCCACAACTTCCTGGATGCCTTTTGGTTTCTGGTAAAGAACGTGGGCTGGTGGAGTGCGACTACAGCCTGTCCTAACTAGGCTGACTTGCCATGACAGGAAACCTTGTGAAACATGCTGGGTTTCATGAAGGTGGAGGCTCTGTCGTTCAGGAGCCTTGCTGTTTGTACTGTAATCAGTGCAATGGAATGAGTTACTCAATCGGTCCATGTAACAGGAGCACTCTCATTGTTTCAAGGTGCTTATTGATGTCCCACGTTCAGACCTGGCAGAAGAACTTGCCCAAAGTCAAACCAAAATCCAAGTATTGCAGGACACCCTGCAGCAGGTGCTGGACAGACGGGAAGAAGAACGCCAGTCAAGACAGCTCCTGGAACTCTACCTAGAGGCCTTGAAAAATGAAGACAGTGTCTTAAGCAAAGTAGCAGGTAGGGAGCATTAGGGTGCTGGAGGAGATTTTCAGTGATGCCTGAAATAGTTGAGTGGAATAAATAAGGCAGAGTGAAGGACTGGAGTGAGTCACTGAGCAGCTGTTAATGTGAATGTAATAGCTGGCATAGTGTAAGAATTCTCTGACTGGGTGACAGCAGGACTCCTCTCACTGCTGTGTCGCATTTCTCACGATGCCTGAAAGTAGAATGCTGGGGGAAAAGCTTAAATCACGTAGTCATCCTTAACATTGTCGATTTCTTAAGTTAAGAGGATGCACCTGGATAGAACGCATATTTTATTGATCTCAAAACCGTTGCAGCAGTCCAGGCCACTTTTCCTATCCTGTGTTTGTCACGGGCTATCATGATTCTGCTACTTTTCAGAATCTGAGACTGTACCAAGAAAGGAGATGGATGTGGTTGACACAGGTACCAGCAGTACAGCCCCTGCAGCCAAAACGGCGCTCAGTGACCAGATCCTTGCTGCTCTGAAAGAGAAACCTGCTCCAGAGCTCTGCTTGGACAGTCAAGACCTAGAGGTGGGTGAGAATGATATAACCATATTCTGGCAAATCTCTCCCTCTGGAGAGAGAGGTTATAGGGGAAGCTGTCCTTGCTTCTGGAGGCTCTAAGTCAATATATATCTCAGTCTCAAGGTGGTAAGATTTAATCTATTCCTCTTCCTCAGTAACACTACCCCTTGCTTGGTTGTTAAAGACTATTCCAAGTACTCTCGTCTGTCCTCTGAAAAGCTGTGACATAATTTTGGTTTGGATCTCTGCCAAATGATAGTCAGCCACTGCTTCAGCTGTCTTACCAGCAAGGTTTTTTATATGCACATGCATCTAGCTGTATTTCTTTTATACATCCCAAATCAAAATAACAAGCCTTATTTTGGAAAACAGTGCAAATAAACCCAAAACTTGGAAAGGAAAATGTAGGTAAACTTTAACCATTAGAAAGTGTGTTCTTTCTAATGCTATGAACTCGCTCCCCTGGCTTTTCCCTGCTGTAGAAACTAAGTAACTGCTTTCTGTTCCTTGGAAATCTGAATATAGCTTCAAGCTCTAACTGTTGGTAACATATTGAAAATCCACTAGCCCACAGGACAGATGATGAAAGCTGGGAACATCTTCAATACCAAAATGACAGTGTTAAAACAGATGTCTCATTACTGCTGTCCTTATTGTGGGCAGAGGGGTTAGTGGTGGAGGAGCATCTGTAGAAAAGACTTAGAAATCTGTCTTGCTACAGCTGGTCTTGAAAGAAGACACACAAGCCCTGGCCTCGGCTCTAAGATGGGACAAACAGAAAGCTGAAGCTCTGCAGCAAGCCTGTGATCAGGAGCTCTCCAAGCGTCTACAACAAGTGCAGGCTTTGCATTCCCTAAGGAGCACCTCAAAGGGCAAGAAAACGCTACCCTGGGGAGACTGGATTAGTTCAAAACGCAAAAAATAAGACTGTAGTGCTGCTCACGGTTTGGTGGGTTGGGTTTTTTTTTGCATTAGAATCAATACAGGCAAAGATACATCCTGGGAGCCATAGTTTGCTGGTCATGCTGTGGTCTGGCTAGAGACAACTAAAATCTGGACATTGTCCTGAGGCTTAAACTCCTGTGATGATTCAAATCATGTGTAACCAAAGGGATTTTCACTTTTTGCAGAATACTAGAACAATGGTATTGCTAAACACAGCATGTAAGGGTTCAGCTTTGAATACCTGGTTGGGAGCCAGAAGCTTCTATCTGATCACGATGGCCCTAGCTTCTGAAGCCCCAGGCAGTTTGCTTACTTTGTCCCCCCAGGGAACTGACCTGTGGAAGACACTGAGGTCCTGTTAGTGAATGGGGCAGAGGGGTTGGCCAACTGCTAACTGGCTTTAAGCTCCAGCCTGGGATCTAGGAACTTGAATTCTCATGCTGATTTCATCAGTTAAAGTAAATCCAAAGTCCTCTGCTTTTTCTGTAAGGAATTCCTGCCTCTGGGGTGCAGTGTAAGCACTAACTTATAAAACACAGCAAAGGTGGAAATACTTGCTTTGTAAGGCTGTGGAACAGATGACTTGTATTTGGCCTGTTTGTATTACTCTCCTAATCATTAGTGAAGTACTATGATGATTTTGTATTAACTGGCTTATTTTTAAGTTTGTTAAAGTCTTTTTTTCTAATATCATTAAAAACTTTTTACCTTACTGTTGGACTAGTTTTGACATTTCCACCAGCTGCTATGATTAAAGAATGTGCTGTTAAGTACAGTATTACCTTTAGGATAGAGGAAGAAGAAATTAAATACAGAAGTACTCTGTATTTAACCTGTCCAAAGTATTTAGGTAGAATCCATGTTCACACTGGGGATACTACACCAGAGCTCTCACCTGGCACAATCTGTTCTTTTGTGACAACAGAGGTATATGCAAAAAAATCTGAAAAGGGAGCTGACTTCTGAGAAAATTTTAGTAGGTACAAATGTTTTCCAGTATTATGCAAACCCCTCTGATTTAACCTTAAATAGCACAGGATACCAACTGATGAGTATTCCTACAGCAGGCATTCAGATGAACCCACTGCATGTAGACATTCCAGTTGAATTACGGCACACTTGAAGTTAGACTGCCAGTGTAACTAATAAATATTCTAAACAGTTTAGTGCCTTTGAGCAGGTAAGCCAAAATATTTAGGCTAACTTCAGATGAAGCTACCCATATGGGAATTGACTGGACTTAAGGGGGAAGCCTGCAGTCAACTTTTTGGTCAGTCTATTTTGCTAGGGCAAGTAATTGCTTCTTACAACATACACTTCTGGCTTGTAACATTATAAGCCATGGCAGGTAAAAAGGTTTCTTGCTGCTTTAAATAGCTACAAGCTTTTTACGTTCAAGTCTTTCTGAAATAGCATATATGGCTGTGCATTAACAAGTTTTGAAGCATGCTCTATTGCACTCAAAGATAATTACACTGGTTACCAATTGTAATAGTACGCATTGAGTAGACTAGCTGTCAGCAAGCTTTTTCTGTGAGCTTATGTCTCAGCTTATGATTCCTACTCTCTCTATTATAAACCAGTTTGTCAGTCTTGCTCAAAGCTGCAATGGTTTTACTTTATTCAAGCAACTTGGTAACAGAAATTCTACTCCTCAAGCTGTACTTGATCAGTATTTGATAGTTACAGCCTGGAAAAGGCATGGTTGGGTTCCCTCCCCCGCCATCCACTACTGTTTAATAGCTCAAATACAGAGCAAGAATAAAAAGGAGCACATGTAGGCAGTCCAGAGCATTATTTTTTCCCACTGTGTCATGCGTAGCTGCTGGGTGACCAGTCCAGAAAGAGAAGAGTTGTAAACAAGGAGCAAGCCTACACTTAGAAGTTCTCAACAGTGACAAAAATTATTCTGTCATCTTGTACCTTCTTCATCTTGGGGTAGTATTTAAGGCATAAGTCTTACTAAAATTAGGACCTGATGATTTTAAACTTGGTTTTGGGGGACTGCCCTAAACTATATCCTTCAGGGAGGAACAAGGGGCTACAAGGAAGAGTGTGTCTCATAAATCAAGTGCTGAGCAAGAGAAACAGTGTTCAAGTCTTTCCTCTCTTGCTGCTTATTTTAGACTATCCTTAGCAAGCATATTGTGGCTTGATAAAGTTTGCCCACACGGTACTTGCTTAAGCAGCCTTCTCATTTCACTTGGCTGTATCTGTCTAATACGGTATGTCTTTACATCTGCTTCCTTTGCATCACCAGCATTTGGTCAGCCTCCCTCACTCCAGCAGAGGGCAATGGTGATACATTTCTGACTACCGTTCCGGAGCCATGTCACTGTAGTGAAATTAGAAATGTAATGCAACTTATTGAAAGTGAAGGTTATATACCAGCAGCATCACAGGTGACACAAACCATGTTTTAATTGCCAAGACAACAAGTGAGAGATATGGCTACTAAATCAAAATTAAAATATTCAAAATACTTAAGCAAAAGTATCAAAAAATGGAAGCAAGAAAGAAGCCAAACAATTACTGGAGAAACTAAGTAGCAGCACGGAGGGAGCTGCACATACTGAGGTATTACGGTCAGTGAGAATGTTCTGCTTCACACTTTTTTTAAAGGATTTTCTTTTTAATAAGATACATTTGTGTGAGCAATTAAGGCATTTTGGCTGTACGCTTTACTGAATTCTGACAGACTGTTCACTTTTGGAACAAAAAAATCCTACTAGTTATGTTCACCAAAACCCCTAAAGATTCATTACTGTTGCTAACCTGCGAGAGGAATCTCTAATAGGCTGACTTTGGGTCCTCAAGGATAGTAAGAGAAAATGACCAGAGACATTACTTGAAAGGTAAATCATGTCATGTTGGAATCTTCACTTTCAGTCACAGCTGCTTCTTGTTCCCCAGCAGCTCTCCCTCCCTTAGCTGCACTGGACTTCTTTTTCTTCTTCTCCTTTTGCTCCATGTTATTTGATGTGATCTCTTCACTCTTCTGGGTGATATACTTTAGCTGAGAACAACAAACTAATCAGTCATCTACTGAGGAACCTCATTTATTCATGAGAAATTAGAGAAAAAAGTTTAAGAGAAATTAACAGGGCAAATTCTTATTGCAAAAAAAGACGACAGACACGCCAAAAAGGCTGACAAACATCAATTAGTTTTAATTCTTGCACAAAGATCTCTAAGCTGAATATCCTCAGATACTGAAATGCCCTGGCAAGATAGGGATTTATGTTACATCCATCTCTAGAACCAAGACAGAAATGTTAGCAGTTACTCAGAGCTGCGGTTTGCCAAGATATAATCTGAGTACAGAGACATTGCAAGATTCCTCTGCACCCACTTGACATAAACTGGAACACAAAATTCAGCTCCAGCATTTACTATGCCTTCTCAGGCAAGTTCATGTGGCATATTTCAAATCACAGATGGAAGGAAAAAATCCTCTCACATAAAATTGAAATTAGTATTGGAAGTATTCTTCTTCACAGAAGCATTTTCAGGTATGTCTTAACACATTAGTGAAGTTGAGTCCACTGAACATCACACAGATCAAAACGTGACAGAACAGAATGAAGTGAATCATCCCTGTATTTATTAATGGTAGAAGACTTAGCACTGCAAGATGGTCTCAAGCTATTCCTGACTTTAGGCTAAAACAAAGGAACAGAACATCAGGAAAAAAAATTATTTACTTCCAAGATTGATGATGCTGTCATGTGTCTGTTCATTGCACTTTTGTATCTGGAACCTCAGCAGCCCTGTTGCAACCAGAACATTGCTGCTTGAATTGCGATCAGATGTGTGTTCCCACAGTAAGGCATAGTGTCAGGAAGCAAAATAAGATGAAAATTTAAAAAATCACTGGATTATGCCCATCCATCATCAATAAAGCTAGTAAATTGCTTAAGTAACAGTTGCTTCATCATCTATAGCTTTCATTCAGATACTCTTAGGAACTGACCAATTGGTTTAAGAATGTTGAGGGACAGAAAATACAGTGAATCTCACCAAAGAATTGCTCCTTCTAGCCAAAAGCTTCACATCTTCTGTAGTGACTGTGCTTCGTTTTGCATGCCTGCATAAAATTAAAAAATAGCCCTTAATGCATTTACCAGCATTGGTTCTAAGAGGCCATACAGGATCTAATTCAGAACACTAACTAAAAGGGCTTAATAGGGACCCCATAAACCAAATATGTCTATCTTTTCCAACTATAATACACTAAAACCTATTTTACAAGTTTGCATGTGTATATCCAAGTTCCCACAATTCCTGTGTAAGAACAGTAGAATTTAGCAACCAGAACTTGAAGCACCACAGTTCCGTTCCCTCTAACTTGCCAGTAGGTCGCTGTGTTAAGTTTGGACTCCTTAAAACATTCCCTTACCTCCCCGGAGCAACCAGCTGAAACACAGGCATGCTAGTAACCATCTGTCACTCCCAAACCACCCAGTACCACTATGTATCAATGCATTTGGCAATTATACACAGTCATTAATCTAATCAGTCACTTGTACCACATAAATAAACTTCCAAGATCAGGAAGAACCTCCAGGGGAATATCTATTTCCTAACTTCACAGACACTATTTAATCAGCCAATAGAACCCTTTAAAACTTGAATTAGAAGACGCATTTTAAAGATTATCTAGTTATTGGAGCTGAACACAAAAAAAAGAAAGCTTTTGTAACAATCAAGTGTTGCAGTACCTACCTTGCAAACATTTCGAGGTCTTTTGCAAAGTTATCTGGAGAAAACACAAAGACGCAACATATTTTAAAACGCTAACTCTGAGTAGGAAGAGATACCTAATACAGCTCGAGCTGTTACAACGGTTTAACTGCAAATTAGTTATGAGGAGTTATAGTTAGTTATCCAAGTTAGTTATGAGAAGTGACCTTTACTTGTTATTACGTGCCACTCTCTTGCACCAGCAAGTGGCCCACACAGTATTTCCACATACATTTAATGCTTTTTCCAGGTCTGAAAAATGGAATCACTATGTCTTGTACTTTTAAAAACGTAATGCAAGAAACAATGCACCAGTGATACCTACTTCCAGTGCTATTTATTTTAAAGCATCATTTCTCCAGCAATTGCTCTTGAACAAATAGATAATATGCAAACTCTGTACCGCACTGCCTGAAGGTGATCTCCGAGATAGCTGCAATGGTTTGTTTGCTGAATTGCACGTCTTTGTCTTCTGCAACCTCCTGGCACAGGCAGCCAACCGTGTAGTGAACTGCAGCCTTCAGCCTCTGAAAGGACCCGGGGCAGCCACAGGTCAGTTTTCTGCAGACTGATGTGCTAGCTCTTGCGTAACTCACAGAATGGTTGGGGTTGGAAGGGACCTTGAAGATCATCCAGTACCAACCCCCAGCCCTGGGAGGGACACCTCCCACCAGCCCAGGTTGCTCCAAACCCCGTCCAACCTGGCCTTGAACACCTCCAGGGATGGGGCAGCCACAGCTTCTCGGGGCAACCCGGACCAGGGGCTCACCACCCGCACAGGAGAGAACTTCTTCCTAGTATCTTACCTAAATCTCCCCTCTTTCAGTGTAAAGCCGTCCCCCCTCGTCCTATGGCTCCCCTCCCTGATCCAGAGTCCCCCCCCAGCGCTCCTACAGCCCCTTTAGGCACTGGAAGGAGCTCTGAGGTCTCCCCAAAGCCTTCTCTTCTCCAGGCTGAACCCCCCCAACT